GAGTATGCCTTATCGCTTTTCCAGCCATTACTCTCCTTTACATTGGGAACTGTCTGTTCTCCTCGCTGCCATACATAATAGAGCCCCTCTCCTTCATGACTGTTTGCAGTGGAACAGAACAGAAGTGTCATGGGCTTTGAAGTCTGACAGCTTGATTTCAAGTCCTTGCTCTATCATTTATTAGCCGTATAACCTTGGGCAAGATACTTAACCTCTCTGAACCTCTGTTTCCTCATTCATAATGCACAGATGACAATACCCCTTCTGTCCTGACAAAATTTAGTGAGAAAGCAGGTAGAGTTCTTATCTAGGTTCTGGAAAGTGGTGCTGGTGCTTGTAGAAGTAGTCATACTTGTACTTCTAATAGTCACTTTGAAATTATATAGATTTATAATATAGTGTGACCATTTATAAAAGTAAAGCCACTGTATTGCTTTACTTTCCTCAGCCATGTAGGAGACATAAAGAATTATTGTCTCTGCCATACCACACATGTAAATATATAAGAACTATTTTGAACCAGTTTGTAAGAAAAGCATCCATGAGTTTACTACAAAACAATAGGACCCACCTTAGGACTATTAGGAAGGCAGATATTCTGCAGTGTTTAAAATTTGCTAGAATTATCATAGCCATGGGCAATTTTAGATAGCAGTTATTTCTTTAATATCTTCCCATATTGGTTTTATGAAACCTTTTTCTCTTGATTGAATTTTATATTTCTTTTCTAATTGCTACAACACAGAGTATATAATTTGTAGTTGTCACATTTAGAATGACAGGGCAGCATAGGGGTGTTGTCAAAGTGCTCATCAAACTCCAAGCACTGTGGGTCACACCATCTGGAGAAGGACAGAGTGTGCTCTGTGGAGGACCCCAGGGCAACATCAATCAGCCTTTGTGCTGGTGCTGAGGTCTGTGAGGGAGCGCGAGGTACATGTGAACGGGAGCAACACACTGCAGCTGACAGGTGGAAGCGGGGTCCCCCAGAAGAAAAGCTACTCGTGTCCCGTAATAATTTGTAATAATCATTTATATATTGTAATTATTTTTCATAATCACTGGTAAGCCGAATAGAGAAGTATGTTACCAAAAGCTTAGAGACAACATAATTTATTATATAGATAAATATTATATTAAAAGATAAGAGGATCCTAATTTAAACCAATTTAATGTTTAGTATTCAGAACATGTTTTTACTGATCTAAGTTCTCTTCATCTCTCAATTTTTTCCAAAAGTTCACTTAAATTCATTTGAATTAGTTTTTAGTACAATACTTTGTAATAACTGATTTATGTGCTTTTATTACGGTAAGATATTACCAACATGACTGCTCTTTGAATTATAAACTCAACAAAATAATGTAACTAAAAAAAAGATAAAGTTTTATATTTAGATAGGAGTGGGACTTTAGAAACTCTTAAAACGTTTTTAAGGAAAAATAACAAAAGTAAAAATTAGGAAAATTTCTAATTAGAGAATTAAGTCTATATTGGGGCTTTATTGCCATTTTATAAATAGTCACACTAAACTATAAATCTTTATGACTTCAGAGTGATTACTAGATTGTAATGAAATATACCTGTAGTGATTATGCACTACAAAGAGAAGGTACACATAATAGTGCAGGTAGAGAGGAAACAATATTGGGTCCTCAGAAATCTGGGTTCCTATATTCCCAGCTTAGCACAATCATCTAGCATCTCTGAACCTGTTTTTTCATCTGTAAAATAGCAGATCATTGCTGCCTAATTACTTCTTTGGCTAATATTCTGTGTTGTGATTTTAGACATACTATTTTTACATTGAATTTAAAAATTAAAATTAAGTAATTAGTAGAATATAAATATACAGAACTCTTAGAAATGAACTCTCATATAGTCCCAAGTCAGCCCCTCTGGAAGTGTCACAGAAAATACAGCTGAAAAATCAGTGAGTATTTTTATAGCTTATATTCCAAAATGGAATACAATTTGAAAATATGGATGAATTTAATTGTATTATAATTTGTTACATTTTCAAATCAGCGAGTAGAGAAAGACAGAGGAAAATGTTCTATCTTATTTTGAGAATTTTTAAGCCCTAAAAGTATTGAAGCTAGGATGAATAACAGGGAAAGAATAATAAAAACGTCATGTAAATGTAGACTGAATTCCATATAATCAGTGTGAGTGTTGAGCATACTATAATATTTAATGTTTAGTGTGCAAGCATGTTTCAGGTAGTCTCTAAATCATTTAACCACTTTTGACTAATTTTCATGAAACTAAAGGGTTATTTTGACCACCAGATGGAGCCAATATTATTCAATTTGTAGAATAAAAATTATGCTGAAAATAGAAATTGATGAAATAAAATGAATAAATTGTAGATTTCTTATTTTAGTTCATAGTACAGAAAAAAATATATAATCTAGTCTTTACCTAAATTTCTGCATAGTCTTTGTAAATGTCATAGAGACACCTTCATTAAGTAATTTCTTTATTATGAATAAGCTTGCATTTTGACTCTTTCATTGGCTAGAGAGACCGGATTTCTTCTTTCCACTTTTTAAAGATATCATCTAAGCAACTTTCAATTATCTTTAAAACATAATTAGTACAGATTCAACCTCTAGTCACTTATGAAATATAATTGATTATAATTACAAAGGAAAGATAGTAAAGAATATATTCCATGGAGGCCCTCATTTCAGTGTCACAGGATAGTCTCATTATTATCATTTCCATGAAGTGTTTTCTTAATAAAACAAACCAATGAACAGGATATGAAGTTTACCCCCAGAAGCTCCTCCAGGAGAGGTAACGCCTCGGTGAATGGTTGCCACTCTTCCAAGAACTCCACCCCGAAAGCTCAGTGCTCAGAGGCCACTGTCTTAAAGTTGACTTCTCCTACTTCTCTCACCTCTATTTAATAAGTGCCAGAAATTATTTAATTCCTTACAATTCAACTTAATTAGGCAACTATCAATTGAAAACGTATTTGTATGCTAGAGGCCTGAAACCCCTGTTAAATTTCCAAGAAGTCACTTCATCTAGCAAGCACAGTAAGGCACTATGAATACTATTATAATCTAAGACCCCAAAATGATCAGTCTGATCATTTGTTCATTCAGCTACTGTTTATCAAGTGCACACTATATGGAAGGTATATACTTAGCCACAAACAGGGAACAGTCCCTGCTGTATGAGTTTATAGCATAGGAAGTAATATTATACATACAAAGAGGCACTTATAATGTAGTGTGCTTAGGATCTACAGAGTGTTTGAAGGTTCAAATAAGGGGGAAATACACATAATTAAGGAGAATTTAAAAAAAAAGCATAAAGGATTCTTCCTAGGTTGAAATTGTTCATGTAAATCCACAGTTTGGCAGACTGGATTTCCCATTTATTATGGTCTGGGAGGAATTTTGGACCTTTTTTTGGTAGGATATTATTTCATCAGGATACATCCAGTTGGTGACCTGATGCCTTTTTATGTCACATTTGAATATTTTCTTCTGACTTTTCTTGTGACTCAGACATGAAGAAGAAAAAACCAAGCTGGTTAAAAGGTTATACTTTTCAACCAGACTGCATGGGTTTATAATCTCATGTTTATAATCCCTGAGATAAATTATTTAACCTCTACTGCCTTAGTTTCTAATGCAAAATGGAACTAGTAATATGCATTCCTCATAGGGTTGTTGCTTATGAGGATTAAACAAGTAATGAAGGTGCTAGTATCTGGCATGTAGTGAGTATTTGAAATGTTAGGTAGCATGTTAGCTATTTTCAAGTCTGGTACTTTTCCTGGAATTAATTTAAGATCTCACGTATATAAAATTTCATAAAAGCATACTTTGTAGCTTCCAGAAAGGATGATGAGATACAACTAAATGGTTTTTATATCCTTTAAAGTCTATCCCTTTTGCTTTCAAATGCTGTTTACTTTCATCAGTAACACATCACTTTTATTTATATAAAAGTTTTCATTTATTATGGGAATTTTTTAAAATTCCTTGAAATAGTGATTCCAGATTTTTTATAAAATCATTTATAAGCAGCCTTACTAACAGTTTCTGATACATAATAATCACTCAACAACCTTTTTCTTAAAAATGAATAAATGCGTAGCTACTTGGACTTGTTAGCTTCTTATGCTCTTGTACTGAGACAGTAGAGGGTATAAATCCTTTTATCTATGAAGTGATACTTGCAGATGGAAACCATTGGTTCATTAACTAAGTAACAATAATTGAGTAGTCATCATCCCTTATGCTCAGGACAAAAAGGCTGCGGAATGAAGAGATTCACATTGGGCCAATGTTAACTTTCCGACTAGCTCTTATGAAAGGGTTAGAGACCTTTTTTATTTATTTTTTAAAGAAATCTTTATTATTCATATTATTACAAATGTTCCTCATTTTTTTTCTCCCTCCATTGCTCCCCTCCACCAGGTTCCCACCCCACCCTCTGCCGTTTCTCCACCCCCCATTGTCCTCATCCATAGGTGCACAGTTTGTGTTCAGTCTCTTCCCACACACCCCATTCCCCTTTTCCCTGAGAATTGTCAGTTCACTCCCTTTCCATACCTCTGATTCTATTATATTCACCAGTTAATATTGTTCATCAATTTTTTTTAATTCCCTTGGTTTTTAGGTTCACTTGGCAAGGGAATATTATAAAATTGTATTACTGAATTTCAGGAAAATCTTAATTATTCTAAAAACGAGATAGGAGATTTTATACTCAAATATAATAGAGAACAACTGTAATAGTACAGTATATAATAAAAATGTATATAAAATTGGTTGATAAATTTACATCAGTCACTTTCTAATCTAGGAAATAGTTGTTGAGCTAGTGGAATTTATTGGTTTGGTTTTTTAATTAAATGGAGGAACACCAGCCCCAAGTTCTGACCTCCTCTTCAGCGATAAGAACATAGACTGTAATAGGAATCCACAGAGCCTTTTTATTGCTTATTCTAAGAATATTCTATTATTATTCTTCAGAGGATGAGGCTGCTCTAGGTGGTGCTGTTGCAGAATACAGAAGAGAAAAACAAAAGTATGAAGCTCTGAGGAAGCAGCAGCCCAAGAAGGGAGCTTCCCGGGAAGACCAGGTAATTTCACAAACTAAATTTTTTTCATAATTTATTGCCTTTTAACTGTCTTCAAATATTGTTAATGGAATCTAATTTGATTATACATCAGGGGAAGCACTAACACTTAGCAATGAAAGAGCACGTGTTTATACAGAGTGGGGTGATAAGGACCTAGCCCCCTCATGCAAAAGCCCAGAGGATAGAGTTCTTTCCACACATTGTAGATACAAAGCCTAAACTTCCAGGTTTTAAGTCTGTACTTACATATCAAGCACAGGAACCTCATAAAGCCACATATTATCAGTTTATCAGGTGGAACCTCTGGCTAAGTGACTATTATGCAGTAGGGAAGTGGCGACTATAAACGATGGGCTCTTCTGGCCCAGCATCTTATAAACTGACTAGCCAGATCCACTTGAAACTGCAGGTTGCCTGCAAAGAAGGCATTTGTTCTCCTAGTTGACTTCTACTGTAAGTAGTATTGCAAAATTCTGCTCATTGCAAGTATTCCTGTTTCTTTAACTAGTATTATATGAAGATTGCCAGAAGTCAGAATAAAAGAGGTAGGGAATCAGCTCAACAATTTGGGAGTCCATCATGCACACCAGGCAGCACCTGTCCCTCAATAAAATAAATCTCCCTCAGCAGCCCTTCATGTTGAAAAGCTAAGGGGCAGATGAAAATCTTTTCTTTTTGGTGCTGCCATATATATGTATGTGAGAACACACCATTTCAGATGTATAAATAAAATAGGCAAAGTAAAAGTAAATTAAAAAGCTCAAGACTATTTGGATAAATAAATCTATCAGGAACTATGCTATAAATGACACCTAATTCTTGATAACGAAGGAGCATGCATCATTGCTTAGCATGAAAACAATCCTAGGAAATGTTTAACAAGAAGTAAAGTATAGGAAATTATAATTGCAAATAACTAACATGTAAAGTTTTCAAAAGAAATGGAACATCAAATAAAATTAAGAAAAAGTACATTATTAACTTGGAGTCACACTGTAATGAATATACTACTACAGATCTAAGTATCACTCTTATTCATGCATTCCTCTTTTTTCCTTCCTCACAAATAATTATTAAGAACCTACCATGTACTAATCACTATATTTGGTGGTAAAAGAGCCAGTTCAACAGGAACAATAATACCAATAAAAGGGGGAGCATTATGTCAGCTTAGGTACAGGGAACTATGTAAAGGTATAGTAGTAGGACCAAACATGTCCTAAGAATGTGGGAAAGCCCTTCCTGAGAAAGTGATTTCTAGGCTGAGCTTTGAAATTTAAATAGGAGATATGTGGCCAGATAAAAGGAGAGTATAAGAGAAGTCTTTGATCTCTTTGCAAAGAGTGAAAAGATGTTAAGTATGACTGGAACATAAGTAAATAAGAAGGAGAGAGATGATACTGGAGAGGTAAGCAGAAAGCAGCTCATTCAAGAAAGGTATTTTTGAGCCTTAATAATGAGTTTAGATTTACCCTAAGGGAAATGGGCAGCCATCAAATGGAGGAAATATTATGATTTCATTTGCAATTTGGAAAGATCGCTTCAACATGGCTGCAGTAAGGAGAATAGACTGAACCGGGGCAGGACTAGAGACACAGAGGCCAGCTGAGAGACCTTATGTGTAGATATGCATGCACAGCTTCCCAAAGCCCCCTTTCAGAGCAGTTTCTCCGTGCTGGGCTCTAGCTGTGCTGCAGGTGGTTGACCATTCATCCTTTGGCAAAAACCAGACCAGTTCCCCTGTAGATGGCAAACAAATACCTCCACGCAGATCCTATCTTCTTCTTCCTATGTGGTACCCGGTTACTTTTGTGATGTTTGCTTTTCTGCCTACTGTCGTCTCTTGCCTTTAGAATGCAGCTAGAGAAAGCCCAGTCTTAAACAGGAGGAGCTAAGCCAGGCCAAGAGGATTTTTTGTTGGGCATAGCCCCCCTTCTCTGAGGAAATGCCAGTAGCACATTGACTGGCTCTGAAAACAGACTGCCTTGCCACTTTCAACTCAAGGAAAAAGATTCAGGTTTAGTGTAATTTGCTAGGGGGTTTTAAAATTTCATTTCATTAAGAAGTATTCTTTGTTTTCATGTTTCTTTATGCCCTCAGAAAAGCCTTTTCCAAGTGTACAAAAGTCCAAATAGATGTGATTTACTTTATAAGTGATTGATGATAGATAGATAGATAGATAGATAGATAGATAGATAGATAGATAGACATGAATATAGATATTTATATAATACTAGAGGCCCAGAGCATGAAATTTGTGCATGGGGGAAGGTTCCCTCAGCCCAATCTGTACCCTCTCCAATCTGGGACCCCTCGGGGATCAGGCCTAAACTGGCAGTTGGACATCCCTTTCACAATCTGGGACCACTGGCTCCTAACTGCTCACCTGCCTGCCTGTCTGATCACCCCCAACTGCCCTCCCTACCAGCCCTGTTACCCCCAACTGTTCCCCAACCAGCCTGGTCACCCCTTATTGACCCCCCCTCCTGCTGGCCTGTCACCCCCAACTGCCCCCCCTGCTGGCCTGGTCGCCACACACAGCCTGTTGTTGGTCATTACTGTGAGGACATCCTGATCAATTTGCATATTACCTTTTTATTAGTATAGATAGATATAGGTAATTAAGCACAGAAACATATAAAAAGCCTTGAAGAATATATACCAAAATGTCAGCGATGGTTATTCTGAGTAGTTGTATAATATTTTGTTTTGCTACTCTTTATTTTCTAATATTTCTACAGTAAACAAAATACAATAAAAATAGATTTATTTTAATAAATAAGGTTTAAAAACAAGAGATGCTTTCTTTATCTGTTAACATTTGAAGAATTTAGTCCTGCCTACCTAGTTTGGCTCAGTGGGTAGAACATCAACCTGCGGACTGAAGGGTCCCAGGTTCGATTTTGGCCAAGGGCACATGCCTGGGTTGTGGGCTTGATCCCCAGTAGGGGTAATATAGGAAGCAGCCAATCAATGATTTTCATCATTTATGTTTCTATCTCTCTCACCTTTCCCTTCCTCTCTGAAATCAATAAAAATATATTTTTTTTAAAAAAAAGAGCTTAGTCCTATTATTACTATTCTAGAGATGGATAAAATATCTAAACCCTAACCCACCAGGCAGCCTTCAGAATGCCCATGAGGCTATTCTACAGGACTTTATAGTTTATCATGTCATTCAACAATTATGGTGATTTGTATATTTTCAGCTGTTGTTTATGTGGGCATTAAATCTTGTGAAACATATAAAGCACATTTCACTATCATTTTTTAGCAATACTGCCTTTGCATTTATTTTGTCACCACCTGTCTTCATTAAGCTTAGATTCTAGACCAGTAAAACCAATTTAATTTTTTCATGAACTGTGGTGTCGGTGATATTTAGCAGATAAACTCTGGAGCCTTACAATTTACTGTGACTCCTTACTATACCTGTTATTCACATATCGAACTATCATATAACTTTTTCCTTATGAAATGTATTTTCGTACTGAATTCCACGTATCAATATTTTAATTATATACTTGATTTTTTAAATTATGGATAATACTTTATCCTGTTTCTAAATATATTCTTTTTTAAATTGTAGAATAAAAAACTTTTTCCTAAATTCTTTTCTCTGCTCAAATTCTGGAGTAGACTGTTAAAGTACTTCCCGGAGACAATAGAATTATCAAATTGTAAGCACTTATTTCTGCTCATTCACAAAGGGCAAAGGAGCCAAACGATAATCAAAGGAATGATCCCTTTTTTAAAAAATCATACTACACATGATATTTGTATCATACTTCTTTCACTTAACAATAGAATGAAATGCTTAGAATTTATATATTCAATAGAATGTATAGAATTTAATAGCATAGTCATTGCTTTTTGCCAAATTTATCTAGTTCTTTATTGATAGACATTTGAAATTTCCATTTTCCCACTTGGGTGACTGTTGCTGGAATGCACATAAGCTATTTTCTGTGTCTCGGAGTATTTTTTCTCTATGTATTCCCAAGGTTGGAATTATCGAATCAAAGGGAATGATCATCTTAGAGTTTCTAGTACATAAAAATAGTTTCTAAAGATATCTCCAATGCATCCATCTTCCCAAAGTGAATGTGTCCATTTATTTTACCTTCTCCAGTATTGTTACTTTTTTTTACATTTTTAGGAAATTGTTCAATGAAAAATACTATTTGTTAGTGTTTTGTTTATTATTTTACACTAGAGGCACTGTGCATGAATTCATGCAAGGGGCTTGCCCCTTGCAGCCCCAGCTTCGTCCAGAAGGTTGTCCAGAAAGATGTCCAGCTGCCTGGTCTAATTAGCATATTACACTTTTAATGAAGTACCTCCCTGTCTTGTGCACAGTAAAAAGATAATTATTAGTAATAAGCATGCATGAGAAAATTTAAGTGTCTTCTATATAAGCAAATTTATGTTCTCCAAGTAAGAAAATAATCATGTACCTCTGAGGTAAAATGTCGGTGCAGATGCAAATAGGGTAATGTCAGGGATTGTGAATATCAATCACTATTGCAGCAGGAAGGCAGTTTTGTTATTTTCCTTCAAAAGTAAAGTTTGCATCCTGATAGGATATTTTTTCTAACAAATATGAGTGTCTTTTCTAAAGTTATATTTATCCTTATCAAAAAATGTATTCTTATTTCAGACCCTTGCACTGCTGAACCAGTTTAAATCTAAACTCACGCAAGCAATTGCTGAAACTCCTGAAAACAACGTTCCTGAAATGGAAGTAGAAGATGATGAAGGATGGTAAGGGCTTTGATTTCTTTTTGTTCACCAGAAACAAAGAGGCTCAGAGCAGAGACACTTCCACTATATCATCCCTTTGCTTTCAGATTTTGCCGTCAGTCATACTCTCATTGTTGTAGGGTCTTATCACCCTTTACTCCATTTCACTTTGCTAAGCATTTATTGAGTGCCTGCTGTGGTCCCAGCTTTGTGATAACCAGTGCAAAATACACAAGATATATAGGACCCTATCCCTGCCCTACGTTATCTACTATTGATAAGATTCACATTAAACAACTAAACTAACAGCCTTAAAAGATTTTAAATCATTAATGTTTTTACACTTTCCCACAAACGTTTTAGAAATCACTATTCCATTTCATAATCCTGCAAGTTCCTCTTAATTTATTACCTACAGAATCCTAGCAATATATGCATAGTTAACTTATTTTTTTCTTTGGATATTTTTCAGCTGTTTAAGACACTGATAAGAAATAAAGGAATTAATGACTTATATGCCTCCTATGCTTAGCACTTTATCCTATGCTGGCAAAAAGAAAGAAAAAAAAAAAAGAATAAGAATTGTGTTTTCCCTTATCACACTCCTCTGCCCTGCAGTTGACTTCACATGTAGTATATTAGCCTCCCCACACCTACTGCCTCCATCTCCCACTGCACCCTGGCTCAGGCACATTGCTGCGTGCAAGCCAGCAGGTCACCCCCACACATGATTCATCGCTGGAGCCTCTGAACTGTCACATGTGCCATTACCCCAACCCAGAATCGGAGCCGCACCCCTCTCTGCCAAACAGCATCTCTCCCCTATTTCAAAACTCTGTTCCGCACTCCCATCCTCCAGGAAACCAGTCAGCAAGATTTGTGGCGCACTCACAAATCTGGAGGGTGGAGTAAAGAGGCTGGGACACACATTAAAAAAGACATAAAAACACTCATTAAGAAAACATTTAAGCAAATAAGACTCAGCAGCTATATATAACTTGAGTCAAAAGGGCTGAGGGGATGATGATTTGAATGCAATGAATCCTAGCTACCCCAGGACTCTGCAAGTACTTGTGTATTTCTCTAGATATGGTTTCTGTATGATCTCAGTTGTGGTGCCAATTTTTTTTTTAAAGCCCTACGTCTCTCTTAATAGGTTTGTATTACTTACATATTTGTTTATACTTAAATTCTAAGTTGCTTAAAGACAGAAGCTGGCTCCTCCCACAATTCTATGACAGAGGCGAAGGTTCAGTGAGTGTTGATTAACTCATAGAGATAAATGCACATTGCATAGCGTAGAACTTTTTGTTCTTTATATGACTGGACAGGTTTAGTTCTAGTTTGGATTCCATGAATATCTCAAAATATTTTTCAAATGTTTTGGGTTCAGTCACCACACACACAAAAAAATGTTTTTGCCAAGTCCTCTTCCCCTTATTTTTGAATCCATATGCATTTTTTAAGGAAATATGATCCATGTGTTTCTGATTCATTTACACTTAACTCATCAAGAGGGTGTTTTGTAAGAGCAGTTTGATGCCCAATAAGTTTTTTATAAGCCATTTAAGTCCTTTTTTATTGAACAGGAAAGTCACCAACAAATTTAAACCTAGAAGTTCCATTTGAAACTCAGAACCCACAGGACTCAAATTTACTTTCAACTTTGTAAGACTATTTATCTTCTCAAGGTTCTCCCTCGCCCCTTTGGTGCAGTATTTTCTCCTTTTTAATTCCTCATTAGCTTCAGATATCAATTAGTGTTTTTAAGTGTCATTATTGTTTTTGATGTGCTTTCACAATACAACCACTGTTCTTACATGCTCATTAGAAAATTAAACAGATGGGGAAACTTCACTACATAGGGGGAAATCACTGGTCAATGATGTTGGCCAGTTCTCAGAGAACAAAAATAAATGGCAAAGGGAAAGCAAACATATTAAAGGAACCATTACCATGTCTTCCGGGGTTCATTTCTGCTTATAATTGCAGCCTCCAAAACAGAAAATCAGTACTGTGCACTATGTGCCTGCATATTTTTTTGGTATTTGCTTTCTCTAATATCTAATAAAATGCCTTTAGTATTCAAGGCACTATACAGAATTATATGTAATGCCTTGGTCCCCTATATAATGCCCTCTTATTGAAATATAGACTATTGAAATTCTGTAGCCTGATAAGCAACAACATCGTTTCTGTTCATAAATAAACCAGTTTGGCTTTATCAAGTCTCTGGTGATTTAGATCATCTCTCGTAAAGTACATTGCACTCAGAAAAGAAGTCTTATATTCACAATGATTTATAGCAAATATTAGGAGTATATGGCATGTGCCTGTGTGTTATGCATAAATTACACAGCTCCCAGAGTATTTTGTAGGTCATGGTTGCCGCTTTTCTCAGAAGTGAAAGTCAGCCAGTGCTGTAGCACTGTCAGGGTCTGTTATCTGAGGTAAAATGATTGCTTCTGAGACATTTTTATGTGTCCGCATGAGTGACCACACATTGAGGGATCATTTTCATTTTCTGTCAAGATAGAAACCATTACCAATTTGTTATGTTTTCTTTTACTTGGCAAACTGTTCTATTTGCATTTTTGGCTGGGCTGCTGTATTGGCATAGTATACAACAGACATTTGGGTACCATTCAGCAGCATTCTATTTTTTATGCGCAAAAAAAAAAAAAAAAAAAAAAAAAAAAGTAGGCGGGGGAGAGAAAGAAAAGAAATATGATTCTATTGTAAACACTATATATGGTGTTTGATAATTATTCCCAGATTTCACTGTCTAGCAAGGCATTTAAAGAAGTGTTATTAGTAGAACTAAGCTGAAATGCATGATAGAAAGTTTTCACTCAAAATTATTAGGATTCTTCTCTTTGTTGGGATATATACTGCCAGTACTTGGTGGCAGTGATGGGCACCAGATACCAGAGTAGCAGCAAGGGCCCGTTTGCCACTACATTCCTTCTCCTCACGGCGTTGCACTTTCATATAGAATCCTTCTCCAAGCATGGATTTTATAAAACCGATTAGATACATGTCTGGAGTCATCAGCCAAAGGATTCATATGACCATGTGGATGAGGTCCATATGTCATTTTGGGTTTGTTTAGATAAAGCTTGGTTAGCTCCCAAAAAAGTTTTGAGAGAGCTGTGTCTGACAAGGCAGTCAAGAGACTTATAAAAAAGGAAACCACCTGCTCCTTACGCAACAAAATCAGCATTCCAGGAAGAGGAGAAAAATTAAATCCAAGAGAGGATATTGGGATCCTGTGAGTCTTAACTACTCACTACTATGTTCCATTAAAAATTCTTTCCAGATAGTTAAGTCTAAGAGTAACCTAAAGCTTTACAGCAAATGGACATGAAAAATAATGCACAAGGGAGGTCTGTTTGCCTCCTCCTTCTTTATCTGCCCTCACCACTCTCCCATAGTGTCTATAGTATTCAGCATTGTATGAGTCAGAAAAGCACTAACAAGCAATTGCATGGTTGCCTTTAGTAAACATTTTAATCTTTTTATTATATAAGGAAAACCAGACTCCTCCAAAATAAAAGTAAATAAAAATCACATGTGATCTAAAACTCAATAATAAATACCATTAATTTATACATGTATATACCCCTCCAGATATTTTTATGTGGAGACATATTTTAAGCAGAAATGTGATCATATAATACTACAACTTTATAACTTGCTTTTCCCCTCAGCAATATATAGTGAATACTTTTCCTTGCCATATATAATTTTATGATATAATTTTAATATTTTGTTTTTATAGCCATCTAGTATTCCAACATATGATGAACCACAATGTTCTTGATCAACTTCATGTTGTTGGATATTTAGGCTCTTTCCAGTTTTTTTCTTTTTTTGTTGTACACAACATTGTAATAAACATTCTCCTAGCTCTGTCATTGCCAGTTTCTTCAGGATAAATTGCTAAAACTGAAATACTTAGTGAGTATGCATGTTAGGCTTCTGCAAAGTATTTTCAAATGGCCCTCCTAAAATGTCATTCCAATTTATACTCCCAAGTAAATATATTTCTATGACTTACTTTTAAGGCTGTTAGTATCTCAAGACTTAAGTAAGGTGCTTTGCCTTTGAAAACTCAACTTGACTTTTAGAGACCTTTAATTCTAAACAATATCTGTCTTCTGGAGCTGGTTACAGAATATATTACCATTCTCATCTCTGGGATACTTTCCGCATTCCTTTAAAGAAAAGCACTATCCTGGGGGACCCTCTGTAATCCCACATATTGAATTATCTCCTAATTATAAAGTGGGCTGGCAAACCAGACTTCCTGGATTCAATTCCCTGCTCCGACAATGATTGCTGAATGGCCTGAGCAAGCAACCTCTCTTGTAAGATTCCATTTCTTCACCTGTAAAGTGGAGATAGCGCCTATATCAGAATTATTATTAGAATTAAGTGAGATAATTCATGTAATGTAGTCAACGTAGTGCCTGACTCTAAGGAAATGCTCAGGAAATATTAGGTGTGAGAAAGGGAGGTGGGTGTGTGGGACTAGGGTAGTATTAAGGCTTGACAAATTACTCAAGCAACACAAACTAAACATTCTAAATTAAATTGGCAGTATGTTAGTTATACAGTCCTCTTGTAAAAACCTCAAAGAAAAATACATAAAGAAAAAGTGAATGTGAATTCAGATAAGGTTATCTGTGACCTAGAAGGAATGTAAGTATACTCATTAAATTTGCTAGGGCTCGATGGTTCTATTTTAAAATCTGTTTCTGGAAAAAAAGAGAAAAGTTTAGTAAGGCTGATGTTTAGCTGAATTGAGATAATAAAATGCTGAGGCTCAAAGTTTAGTGAATATAAATTTAGCCATCATTTTTGGAACAGATAAAAGCTACCTGGCATAAGTGGTTTATTTCTATTGGAAAGAAAATTTAAAGAGCAAGGATTCTGGGGATTAGCACAATATAGTAAAAGTCGTTTCACAATGATTGTTCCAGATAACAGCAAAGCCTGTAAGTACAGGATGGAAGTTG